TTTTTTTTTTTTTTTTGGCAATAGTTAATATTAATAATGACTGAACACTTCAGTTAAAATGTAAAATTTAATGAAGCTATATAGGTATAAGAATATAAAAACATAGATTTAAGTAAGAAATCAATCATTATAATTTATAGAAGAGATGATAATATATTTCTTGGGAAGACATTAATGTGTTCCGGTAGAAAATGGCTTTATCATGAACTATCCAGACATCAAAGTTCTGAAATTCGAGGTTAACACCGACATTTCCGTTACTTTTCTTTAAACGTRACGACCACTTTGCCGCGGAGGTGTCCGCCCTTGACCTTGTTGAACGCTTCCTTCATGTCTACAAACCCGTAAACGCTGTCGACAGGAACGGTGATCTTCTTTTCCACTGCCAGCCGAGCAAGCTCCTCAACTCCGCGCTCAGCGGGCATGAAAAAACCCCAACGGATCGTGGATCCTTTGAACACGGCGCCCGAACAGACGTTYGGCGCCATTAGGTCGTACATGTTCTTCAGCATGCCGAAAACCATTCCGTACGCGTCAGTATTGTGCAACACGGGACTGCGGAGGGTGATGAATTTTGCCCATGACCAAGGTTTCAACAGCGGCGTGTATGCGCTGCCGATATCTTCATATGGTATTCCGGCCGCGTCCAGAATCAGGTCGTACCTTCATAATTATTATAGTATTATAGTACATAATAATATTTTAATAGAAAAAATGCAGCGCTGAGAATGTTGTCAACTATTATTCAAACAATTATTTTGCATAAAATGAACAAAATACAGTTTATAATAAAATATTATCAACATTATCTTTGATAATTTTAATTAGGTGCCAATCGTCAATGTTGACATTTCCAACGATACGCACAACTATATAGGTATTGTTAATATACAAGGATAATTAAAGGTTTTTTTATCCATCTGTATAAAAGGTATGTTGCATTTTATCTATTGTTGATCAAAAGTATAGTACTTATTATGTATCTCATTTTAATAAATCCTAACGATTTTCTACGCCATGTATATGATATACTACATTTTTTATTTATTATTATTTAAATTTAACTATTCGAGTTATACCTACTCAGGGCTGCTTTTAGGTCTTACAAGACCCGGGGCAAGATGTCATTGCAAACCCCATCCTAGTTTTCACTCTTTATTTAAATACTTAAGAGGACGTTACACCCGCATATGTTGTCTCCGTCTTACAAGTGCATAACATACCAAATTTTATTTTWATTTTCATCGTAAAAGATATTGAAGTTAAAAGTAGAAACATTATTTTGAATAATTATCGGTCTGTTATAGCCTATAAAAGAGTTGGCGAACATGAATACATCCATGAGCCACATGGTTAAATATTAAATAGGTACAATGATATCAAGAGCCAACATGTTTATAAATCCATTTTAAAATTTTTATAATTTTATTGTTGACAAGAAATATTGTTTTTTTTTAATAAGACGCTAGCCACAAGTTAGCCACCCCTTCCCTATAATATTAGTAATATTACTAAGTGGTATAAGATGGTATATTTTATAATATTATTGTGACTAAAGGATTTATTTTACTTTATTTTAGACATTAGTATTGTACACTATAGCCGGTTAAATTAATTTTTCTCGGAAAAATTGCTTTTGAAAATGACATTGTGTTTTATAAAGTATAACAATATACCTACTTTAAAAGTTTCAAGTACCCTTGAGTAGCTTAAAGAGCAGCCCTTTACCTATTTWTTATGTAATATTTTATGATCTGTTTATAATGTTTACATACTTTCCATATTGTTCCAACTGTTTTTGCACATCTTCAGTAGTGTAGTCAATGATATTATCTGGTCCAAGTCCTTTCACTAAATTTATGGCATTTGTACTACAGGTGGTAGTTACCTAAATATTAGAAAACAACTAATTAATAATATTTAAAGGTTTAAAAGGTTTATTTTGAAATAAACTATAAGATTTTTCTTTTAAGTTAAACTAGAAAGGTTTTACACTGTTTTTCGAATCTACTTTGTTATCTACCATGTATTGTGGCGTTATTCCCTGAAGAATCTTTGGGTTACTAAAAATGTCTTGTATTCAAAAGGAAGATCAACAAATATAAATTTACAAAAATTAAAAAACCTGAAAGTATGTTATGTTTTTTAATCACAAGAACCATGTAATTTTATTTTTCAAAAACATTTAGGTATAAGTACTTTTTAAAATAATGAAGTTTCAATACTAAAATAATCAGCCATTTTATAGATATTCAAAAATCTTGAAAATTAAATCAAGGTTTCTCATAATTCTTAATAGTTATTCATCTATTATCAAATAAAAAATTCCAGAAATATTAGGTCACAATATTTTTATAATTTTTAAAGTTTGAAAATCTACAAATTTCWTTAGAAGTAATAATTTCTAAAATGTTTAGAATTCCAATTAGAAAATGATTAAGTGAGACTTGAGTAATCAACCAAATATTTACTTTAGCATTTTTCTAGATACGATATGGTTTTCAAAATATTTTAGCTCCGTTTGAGGTATTTGATATTTTGGAATTTTTTTAAATATTTAAAATTAATATAATTAAAAAAAAATTAAACAGTATACATTATAGTTTATAGGAGGTAACATTGTTAGCCATTGGTTAAAAGTTAACATTAAGGGTTATTTTGATGATGTTTTAATGGTAGCATTGCATGGTAAGTATAGCATTTGCTAGCTGCATATTTTATTGTTTATCTTTGTTTCATTTAATTTTTAAATCCGTCAGTTAAAAATGAATTATTCTAATAATAAATGCAAATGCACTGAAAAATGTAAACTATTTTCAGAAACTCCGTCGAATGCTTCTCAAAATATAAAGTAACACAAAAGTTACCTATGTTAATGCAATATTTGTTCACTTCGAATTCTGGAGATCAAAAAAACATCGATTTATTAGAGTATGAAGTAAAACCATTCARTTCATTTAAAACTGATTCGATTAAAGAAGTATCTCAAGTATCAACATGTAATGAAAATCATGAAAACACAAACAACGCCAATATGCCAAGAAAATAATTTACTGAAGGCAATCAAATAGAAAAGAAAATTGAAAAATAAATCTTTGTCAGGTTAAAATGTATTACACTAATCACTAATGTTAACGGCCAAAATAATAATAATAATAATACATATCTTGAAAAATAAATATCTGATTTAATTGATATAAAATATGACATATATGTGTATACATTGATAGTTTAGTTRTTTAGTAGGTAATAATGGTAATAATAACATTTTTTCAGTGTTATAAATTTAGCATAATAGCACAGATTATATAATTATAAATAAATAAATAATATACGTATAATATATATAATAATTATATATTTTATATAATCTGTGATAATAGCATCAATAAAAAATATCAATATTATTATTATTGTGTAAATTAAACTAAGTAGGTATTGGTTTTGTTAATGTGATTGAGAATAATTGGAAGTAAATGAAAATCATGGTTCAATAAACAGGGGCATAATTCTAAATCCGGGTTAATTATATCTATATGATACTTAACTATTGACATCTATAGTTACTTCGACTGAAGGTTCAGCTTTTAAATTTTCTATTATCCTTATAATATCTACACTTATCAGTGCAACTCAGTGCMAGAGTGAACTAGTAAAAAAAAATTATGTTTTTGTGATTATTTGAATGGTAATTCGTAGTTTTTTTAATTGTGTACAGCGTATGCATAACATCTGATTAAATTGACAGTTTTAAAGGAAGTAGGTACCTAGGATATTATTAAATAGATTAAATATAAATTTCTTATGGTCGTTAAGCTGAATGCTTTGGGTCGCTTTGGCTGCAATGAGAATGTTCTACATCAGACTTCTATTGTATAAACGAAACTATTATAGAGATACTATTTGATATTTCTATCGTTTGATATCATGGAATGATTTATTGAGTAACACTTAGTTACATAAAAAAACAAATTGATTTATAAGATGTAAACATTTTAACCAAATTACGTTTTGAATCATCTAAGTTTTGTTTTATTTGCTTTGTAATCATATTRCAGTCGCAGACTTAGAAATATAATTTAATCAAATCGCCACATATTCTCCAGTGTCGATACTCGCGCGTATACACTACCTTGGCATTCCACGACTTGAGTATCTGTATMGCACTATTACCAACACCACCGGATCCGCCGATGACCAATACGTTCTTGTCGGCAGCGTTCGAAGCGTTCAGGCCACCAGCCGATGTCAAGGCACACCAAGAGGTTAGGCCTGTGTATAACAAGCTTGCTGCTTCCTCAAAAGACATATGATCTGGCTTCTTGGCTACCTATACGACGTCATAGTAAAATAGATTTATTTTACATCTGGTATCTGTATCGTTGTTAAGAGTTGAAACCTATACGGCCATCTCACTCCACCGGCCGGTGAGTGACGACYGAACGCGATCATTACCTGAGTTACGGGAACGGTGACGAATTCGGCATGACAGCCAGTCTGGTAAGGAGCTACGACACCCAGAATGGCGTCGCCGATGTCCAAGTGTTCTGAGCCAACTTCAGCTCCTTTTGCAACTACTTCACCAGCGAAATCTCGTCCCAAAATCAACGGGAACTCAACTGGCCTGAAAAACGACTTCTTTTTTGCCTGCCGGACTCTGCTCAATAGCACTTGACCATAACCCTCTACGAGTAATAATCACAATATTTATTTATTTATTTATTTATTTATGAATGAACGGGCTAACAGCCCAATAGTACAATATGTACAATTTGTAGTAATGAAAATGAATATTATAACAATAAATAGGTAAATGCCAAACAATACACGGCGATTATATACAAATAAAATATGCAATAATTAAACAAAGGTAAAAACAGTAATAAGTAATRACAGATTAAGTATCAAAATTAAAATCAACAACRAAATAGAACTTCCTAAGAGAAACATAGGTGCTCATTACAAATGCGCATCATACGATGGATTGGATTATTTCTACCATAGTTGGTGCTGTGGAATGGAACAACAAAGGGAGAATTAGACCTTATTAAGCGAGAGGGAACTTTAAAATTAATTAGAGAAAGGAGAGAGGGAGCATCCACACGTCCGTCAATCAGCTTACGCAAAAATACCAAGTTAGCATCAACTCTTCTGTCGGCCAGGGACAAGAATCCAAAATTATTCATCACTGGCCAATAATCATGTAGTGGATGTGGAATTCGTAAAATAAATGATGCCGAAGAACAAAAACGCCTCTGGACCCTCTCAATGCAAGAAGAGTCTGCTGCCGTAAAAGGGTCCCACAAAATGGAAGAATATTCTAAAAGAGGCCTTACAAGGGAGCAATATAAAGCTTTGAGAGAACTAGAGAGCCTAAATTCTTTAGAAGTGCGTATGACAAAGCCGAGCATCTTTAATGCACAACAGCAAACAGCCTCAATATGGTAATGAAAATCGAGATTTGGACATAAAAAAATACCCAAGTCTTTCTTCATAGTTACAATATTAATGCTTGACCCGTTTATCAAGTACGTGTAGTGAATAATATTCCTACTACGGGCAAAAGACATAGATTGGCATTTACCTACATTGAAGCTTAGCCCCATAGAATTGAACCACAAAACAAGAGCATCTAGCTCTTTCTGGAGGGTTACACAATCTTTRACTCAATTATMCGGAAGATTTTCAAATCGTCAGCAAACATAAGGAACATAGAATCCGGGATAACCTGTTTTAGACCATTAACCAATASAGAAAACAACAATATTGATAATATACTATTATAAAAACGCATGCAAATATGGTAAATTAAAAGTTTAACTATAATTCATAATAAGGGACTATTTATAATATTTAAGGAATCTCTTAAGACGTTGCCCCATTATTTACGTGATTGTAATTTGTTTTTTCTAATGGGTATAAAAGTTTAACAATTTAACTTATTCCAGTGACTTGATGGTACATAATAAGTTGCTGTAATAGGTACAGTTATTTAAAACCGGTTTGTATAGTATCTATACACTTGACTTTTTCATATTTTATGTTATTGGCGAAAAAACATAATAATTGTTTAGATGAATTTGTAGGGGCTATTGTATTATGTATATATATATGAATATGATGTATCTGGTACTTCACGCATAGGTCGGCTGCTATGTCATATTGAAAACTATTTTTTAAATATTTTCCTCGTTATATTTGTTTTGATGAATTTTTTTATATWTTTACTACTCATGAATGATTTTTCAAAAGATCCAAAATAGACTAATAAATTTAAAAAACTATACCAATTAACATTATCTAGAGCTAATACAATCTATGTGATATACAGATAAAAAATCACAATAAGCATAACGGATGGTTTTTCCTAAATTATGTTATAATGAAGCAGCTTGAGTGACTTGACAACCAGTGAAGAAACTTCTTCAGCATGATTTTATAAATTATTTAGGTTTTGAATGTTTAATTTATGAGATCTTCTGGAGGGGTTTCCGGAGATGGATATGAATAGCAGCTTTTTAACATGACGGTTGATGTGATTTCTGAATTTAATAAATAGCTTGGTTATTTCTGTGACAAGGAATGTGGAGATCTGTGAGGAGGGTGATGTGATTTGAGATATAGGGAGGAGCATTAACTATGAAGTATGAGTCTGAGGATTTTTGATTGGAATACTTGTATTTTTTGTACATTCGATAATTTGGCAGAGCACTTTTATACCGTACAACCAGTTGGGCTTAAGAAGAAGATAATAAGTGTGAATTTATGTTTTGAGGGATAGTTTTAAAACTATGTCGTGTATGGGGTCTAAGAGAGTAGAGTTATTCGTTTAATTTTAACTTATTTGTGATAGACGTCAGTTTAAAAATAGGCTTAGGTATCGTTAGTAATTTAATAGTTAAAATGTTCATGTTTTGATGATGATGACATATTTATCTCGAAGCAAAAGTCCGTGCTCCACTGCGCGGTGTGCGTGATAACACGACGGCTATTATGTAATATAAAAAGGACGCTATACTCGCAGTGTTTGCTCCGTCTTACACACGTACGACATCGACTAAACGCGTTTACGCAGTCTGAGTAGGACTACTATAGGGCTCGCTGCTCGCTCAATTTTGGTTCTAGAAAAAATACCTATTACAAAATTGAATTGTGATACTATTTCCGAAGGCAGGATGGTTCGTTTTTTCCATGATTCCTAATATATCGTTCATTATATCGTTTAGAAACAGCGAAAATTTCAATATTTTTAAATGACCTTCAACTTTTAAAAATGTAATAGTTTAAAAAAACGCACAGMTATGCCATGCACGTGTAAGACTATAACACATGTGGGTGTGGCGTCCTCTTAATGATATTTTGTTAGTTGTTATGATTACATAAATAATCGCGATTGCAATGATGTCTYATTACGAAGCGAGGGAAAACGTCTGCGTAAGGTATATTGCTGCTCGTACGATATTGCATTTAAGAATAAATCCAGCATAATATTCATCATRCATAAATTTTCCAAAAAAATTAACAAAATTGTTTTTAACGGACGACTTTTTAGTTTTTATTAATAATAATTATAATTATTGAATGACGAATGATATTACACGACGCAGCACTCCCACATTACATAAAATCACTGATAAATATAACCGTTTACACGTGTAGTTGATACTCAATATAGCACARAATAAATAAAATAATGCGTACATTTTTTTCGTGACGAATAATTTAAAGAGCCGCTGTTATAAACATTAAAATTTAAAACAYGTAGTGGAACGTGAGGTAGGTTTTTTTTAGAATTGCAATAAGCCCACGTCAATAAGATAATAGAATAACATTAGGTTTACGACTATTATAATATTATGTGCTTGACTTGGAATATTTATGATGAATAGAACGTTCAGGACTTTGTCGTCCGAGTGGCAGTGTAAAAACAATTTTACGAACATCTAACGGCGTCGAGTATCTGGACGAAAATCGTCATCAGGGACGGATTGGAATTTTGGACCGGCCCGGGAAAATAACTTTTTAGCGGCCCCGTGTTCAGATGGTAAACTAATATGTATATTTATAATTATATCCAATTCGATACTACTAATTACAATATTATAAATAATCTAAATTTAAAATAAAAATATTTTTATTGTTCAGACTACAGTTCCATGCCGACTTGCATTGTTAAAATTCGTCGCCGTTAGTTCGTTACCCGCCGACAGGCGACAACAGGAAGACGGAATATCAGATTATTTATAGATTTACTGTTCACGGAGATTGTTTTATTTTTGATTAGAATTATTGCAATAACTTTAAATTATTATTCAGTTTTTGTTARATTTATMCTGTTATATTATGCGTTATAGACTTTGGTAATATTTATTATTCATATTTTGGTTATTGACCTATTGCTTTCTAGTTTGCAATAATTGATATGAATGAAATTTAAAATCGTGTTTATAAAAATCTATAAATTTTAAAATTTAATTAGCGACAGGTTACAGCCGTAGTTTGGTAGCGCATGCAGCGGCCCCGTCAACTAGTTAGCACGCGGCCCATCGGGAATTTCCCGATGGCCCAAYCCGCCCCTGATCGTCATCTATGTATACCGCATGGGTTAGGTTACCCTTTAACCGGACATTGTAGTTGGTATCTAAGGCGCTTACTTACCGGCCATGAGGACGTCGATGGGATTGACGGACGATGCCTTGACACGAACCAAAACATCTTTGGGCCCGAGGGACGCGGGCGACTCTGCCTTGTCGTTGAGCTTGGCCGAGTCTCCAAACGGCGCGTAAGTGTCAATCTGCCACGCCGTCATCCGGTCGGGCCACGATCGTCCGCCGTCCGCAGCAGCAGAAACATCCGTCTTCGTCATCTCGTTGTGGCACAGCTGATTTATATGGGCACCAAAGTATTTACCTACACCTCGTGTTGACGCGATAGGCGGGCGAGCGTTATAACTGGATGGCAGCAGAAGTCTTTTCTAAATTCGAACTACGGGCGAGACGTCACACACACAAGACTGGCGCAGCGAGCGGTGAAAAATGATTATTATCTCGCGCGCCGTGGATAGACGAAAAAACAATTCACATAACAGATTGTGTTGTAGTTTAGACCTGCTGCGGCAATGACGGATTGACGGCGTTGATAACTGGTAATGACGAAATATCGAGCAAGTAGGTACCTACCGGCCAATCTACATAATTATTATAATAATATATTACTGCTATACATATCTATATTTATTATAGTATAATATTCTGTTATCAATGAGCCAATAAACTATAGTCGTAATTTGTGTTTRGTCATATATTATAATAATAAATAGTTTAACTAATCCTATAATACTATTAATACCCACAAATAATGATCAATTTCATCTCAACAAGTGACGTCACATTCACTCAATTCTTTTAGACATAATCTAAACATCTTACATCTACGATCTTACTATTCTTACTTATAAATGTATTAAAACAATAATAATAACGACGAATAGATTTTTAATAAAACAAGAACTAATCAGTTTCTAGTTTCTGATGTATTTATCTTACGTATTGTAAAATGAAAATTAAACATTAAATTAAATCGTCTAATACAAATAATATTTACAAAATATAAATACCTATTGTATTTAAATTTTCGACAAAACTTATACTATAGCAATTTATAATAAGCATCTAAAGTTTGTTTGCATGTTGGATGTTGGTGTTATAGGAACTCGCGATGGTTAAGATTAACTATATTAGATAAGTAAAAAGTAATGACAACTATACCTAATGTTGATACATGTATTTGTAATTGTAAAATTTTCTTTGAAAATAAAATAATCCAACTATTATTCAAAACCGGAATTTAACAGCGCGGCGTAACGCGGATAAGCTGATAAAAAAGTACCTTCTTACGGCAAAAAATCACCGTAACAATGAAATAAGATATTATTCATGATACAATAATCATAGGCATGGACACGGGCCACTGAAATACCCGAGTATGTGCACTGTGCACTTACATATCCTGTGGGCTAATGACAGGCATTTTTTTAGAGGGCACAATATATAAACTAATAATCCCCAAAGTAGATACGATTATGATATATTATATTCAGTATGACTGATTTGTGACAGAAACATGAAATTACATATTTTTCATTAATGGCCTCAGTGCCAAGTCACACACTACAGCGGTAGCGGACAGCGGTTTTAGAAAAATGATGCCGGACTCAATTTTACCACCACCACTGCGCAATTTCAAGCAAGTTTATAAAAATATATGTTTGAATATTTCAACTTCTGTGATCTGAGATACTAACTCATAAGTATAAGAAGCAGCGACAGTAAAAATGGTTATCAATTTATCATAAATAGATAAATATTATTAAAGTAATGAAATAGAGTAGAATGATATAGACTTCAATGTAAAATTTATTCTCTGCACGAACAAGCAAATTTGTTATAACAGTGATTCCAAACTGGTGATGTGAATCTTACCTCAAATGCTCCGTAAAATCATTTCAAGTGGTAAATTAATTTTTTCTTGTCTACTAGTAAATCAAATTAATTAAGTACCTATTAATAACTTTTATTTTTTCAAATTAATAAATAAAAATATTTTTCAAGAGCATTTACAGTATTATTGGTTTTATGGTGTATGCATAAATTATAAGTTATAAAGAAATTAGAGCTGAAGAATGGAATTACGTAGTGGTCCACACCTTATGATGAGTTAGAAACTACAAGTTTAGATTGTTGAAAGACATTTTTAGGAGTWTTTTTTTTTTTATCAGCCACATACCCTGCGTTATAATTATTATAAAATAATATGTAATAATAATAATAATAATATAATAATAGGATATGTCGTTAATTTTAACTTTACTAACAAATATTTGCACAGTAGACTTTTTTCTATATTGCGTATTCATCAAATATTGCAATTACATTTGCACAATAATTGGCAAAAAATTAAGTTCTACTAGGTACCCAGGTATATAAATATAAACGAATTTGTTAAATGCATTTTACGTTTTTTACCCATGTCGGTTTTTTCTATTTATTGTTTTCCTAGATTCGTGCTTCGTGCACGATATAGGTAGTTAAAACGCACACGATTAAATGTTATAATATTTTAATTTATGAAATGCTTTATCACAATCTTAAGGTTTTTCCTAAATATTATATAGGTATACAGATGATTTACCTACAATAAACATTTATTTGTTTGTTATAAATATCTGACATTTGTGATTAAATATTCTTATATAACATTGAAATAAATATTTTATTGTTCTGGCCATTAATGGCAATTCCTGCCGTAATTACTATAGTAAGTTGCATTATTATAATACACATCATTTTAATAAATCTATAGTGTACTAATGGTTCCTACTCCCTTTTAAACATGAATCAGTGACTTTTGTTTGGTTCATTAAATTAACAAGTTTTATATGCAACTATGTAATGCGGCATAGACTTTGAATGACAGATAAGCCGATAAGAAAATACAAAATGATAGGAATAGGTAACATTATTCAACAATCATGGTTTACCTAAAGAGTATAAATTAATATTAGTTAGGTACTAAGTTAAAGTATGGTCGTATAGATATTTTTTAAGATTACACAATGTTATATAAGAATATTACAAATATGAATATACGTCATGTCGCTATACCATATACCTTATATTAATATTGTTTATTTTGTAACTTATCACAATTGGAGCAAAACTTAAGATTTAAAACACTTACATGAAAGTTGAAATGAAAAATCTCCAAACAACGGACAAATTTAATTTCATATATTCTGTGCTTGTAATGCTTGTATCATGTTAAAAACAAAAAAAAAGATGGGTAATTGAAAATGTAAATTAATGATTAATTGATAACGATCGAGTGTGATAACGCTAAATGATAACATTTTAAAGTTAAACTTTAAGATTTAATTAGAAAAAATTAAATTAAAATACTGTACTTCTAGGGAAATTGAACGTTTTGATTTTGTGACCGTAAAAAAACATTCCACGGAGGATTTGTTTATATAGATAACGTTTCCAGAAGCTATTATAAAAAAAAAAAACGACTATTTTTTTTTTTAGTCGTTTTTTAGCCATAGGTATCTATTTTTTATAAGTGCTATACACCTATACCACATATTTTACTGATTTAAAAATTAAATTTGAATGATGCAATTATATTGTAGCTATTTCATTTAAATTTAATAACTATACTGTGGTGATATATTACATTTTAAATAAATAATTATTGAAATATCATAACAAATATTTGTGTCAATTTATTACATTTTATTAATTTAAATTATATCAACAATTTAAAAAAAAATAATTGAAATTTTAAATTAAAAAAATAGTGGTTTTTAAATTCAGTGATTTAAAGTACCATAGGACCAAACACTTTATCTTAATAAATGATGGGTATAAAAACTCCTCCATTAGAAAATATTTCTTTGATTGTGAGTTAACTGTACGAATTAAGATMATCAATCGTGTAACTACTATATGTATTTATTCATGATTAACTGCAAAAGACATGATAAATAATTTAATGTTTACCTAAAGTTTATCAGGATTTACTATATTGTTAAAAAATTATAATACCTACACTAGTACACTAGACATAGGTAATAAACTTATAATTATTATTATAATTCAATAAAGTATTTATAAGACACTTAATAATATATCATTATGCATTTATGTCTAAGAAATACCATTATTATAATAGTAAACTTTTGAAATAATTTAATAATGACTCTTTCATACTTAGAATTACTATCTAATAAATTATAAGAATTTAAAATTTATTTATTTTGGGAAATTTCACGTCTTCCAAAATTATTAATAGAGTACTTTTGAAATTTAACTAGAAAATTCAATCTAAAATAAGTTATTAAAAAAATATAATAGAAATATAATTTACTTTTCTTTATAACTAAACAAAAAATTACTACAATTTAATAACAATATAAATTTTAACAAATAATTTAATTTAACAGTATTAACATTAATTTATTATTACTAGGAATTTTTCTTTGAAAAATAATATTAAATATTATAATTTTATGAAAACAAATAAATTTTGAAACTATTAGCAGACAACCAAATTGTGTATAATGATTTGTCATTATTAATTATGGTAAGCATCAAAATAGAATCTATAGTAACAATAAATAATATTTAATTAGTTAATCTAGCTTTATCCATACTAGGTTTATCGTAAGTTATAATAACTTTCCCCCTAAGATGTCCATCCTGTACTCTTTTGTATGCATCCTTAAGGTCCATAAACTTAAAAGTTTTTTCCAGAGGAATTATAATTTTTTTCTCTTCGGCTAACTTAGCCAGTTCTTTTATACCACATTCGATTGGAAGGAAAGTACCCCATCGTATTGAAGATCCTTTGAATACTGCTCCAGATAAAATGTTTGGGACTAGAAGGTCAATTGCATTTTTAACCATGCCCCCTACCAAGCCATATGAATCCGTATTGTGTAAAATAGGACTGCGAAGTGTAATAAACGTAGAACAAGCCCAACCTTTTAACAAAGGTGTATATGCACCTATTTTATTATATGATATTCCTGCGGCATCTAAAATTATATCATACCTGAAAAAAAAAATAGTAAAGATTTTTTTAAAGCGCTTTTTGTAGAATTCAGTTACCAATGCTTTTAGAATGTTATTTATATATTATTGAAATTCAATATCATTGTAACTAATATTTATAAATATAATGTTTGCATACTTTCCATGTTCTTCCAACTGTTGTCGTGCATCTTTAGCTGTGTAGTCTATAATATTATCAGGCCCAAGACTTTTCACTAAGGATATGGCAGTTGAGTCACATGTAGTTGTCACCTGAATACAAATTAATTAGTAAAATAAAAAACTTGTCTAATAACAAAAAATATATATGATAAATTTTTGAATGACAAAGTGAATCAAAATTCCAATTTATATGTTAAATTGCTTATAAAATTAAATATAAATTTACATAATATTATGTAGTATTTTTGTTAAATTTAATAACAAAATGAATATGTTATTAATTGCATATGAAATAATTTTTAGTTATTTAAATTATATATTATATATTATTGTAATTCAATATTATTAATCATTTTATTTAAATAAATTAAAAATAGCCTAAATATTAATTGATTTTAACTTTTGCAAATCATTTACTTGTAATATTTTATTTTATCAAAAAATATTTGAAACAAATTTATTTAAATCTTTTAATAAGAGACATCAGATATTTTCTATTTCTTTGAATTTGAATAAATTCTCCAAAAATATAAAATATTTAATACATCATTGTCAATTAAAATGTTTAGCTTATGAAGTTAGCCCTAAAAACAAAAAATTAATAACCAGTATCAAGACTATAATATACTACATCACAAAACGTGCATCAATGCTAATATATCATATTATTATCGCTTAAAAATTAAAATATTATGTTTAAGTAAAAAACRAAAGATTATTTATATATTTAATCAGAGTTCATTGTATTCAAGACTTATTGAGTCAAAATTGAGACTATTTTATTAGTACCTTAGCACCCCAATGCTTTAACAGTTGTATGGCACAATTACCAACACCTCCAGATCCACCAATGACTAGAACGTTTTTGTTATTAGCTTTCAAAACATATAAGCCACCATACAATTTCAAAGCAGACCATGCAGTCATGCCTGTATATAATAATCCTGCTGCTTCTTCATTGGTCAAGTGTTCTGGTTTTTTAGCCACCTAAAAAAACATTAACAACAATCTTACTAAACTGGACATATTGCTGATAAAAATCTATGATTAATAGTTTTGTACCGTACCAGACCTTCAGAAACAGCAACAAATTCTGAATGGCAACCTTGATGGAACGGAGGCACTACACCCATGACCATGTCACCGACATTAAAACTCTTGACTTTTACCCCTTTGGCTATGATTTCTCCACAAAAATCACGCCCCAACGTCAGTGGGAACTCAACAGGTTTGTGCAGGGACATTAGCTGTGCTTGGCGGATGGTACCCAACAATACCTGACCAAAGCCCTCTGAAAATCATGAAAGGGCGAAAATGATTATAGTATTGTGCAACAGGTATGCACACTGCTGGACTTATCTTTTCCCATCAGTCACCACTCACCAGCCATGAGAACGTCGAGTGGGTTGACGGATGAAGCTTTGACGCGCACCAACACTTCATGGGCCGCCACCATTGTCGGGGACCGGGCGTTGCTGGTCAGCACCAGATCATCGACTGTGCTGTACGAATGAACTTGCCATGCGATCATTTTCGACGACCAAGCAGTTTGGGTCGGTGTCGTTTCAGTCTTGTGATCGGTTGCGTCGATGTCAACAGTCATGTCGTCGGCGGTGGCGCTGCTGCTAGTGGTTAACGTACGTCGTCGAATCGTCCGAGCCACGAACGTGTTCTTCGAAGTCAAAATCGGAAATGACCGAAATGCTATTCTGAATATTGTATTTGATTTAGACATAATAATAATATTATATATTATATTATTGTTGTTGCTCGATGCTCGCCAGATTCTTGCTGATGATGCCTCTTCTGGCCCCTATCAGTCGGTTATCACACCGGCTGCCAATATTATCGAGATAATGATAATAATTATTATTATGATTATAGTAGTTATTTCTCACAAGTCACTATAGTTAGTAGTTTAGTCACTACTCTCCACTTATTTTAATTTCAGCAATTAAAGTCACTAGCGAACTCGAATTATAATTTATTGCGTTTCTGTCCATTGCATAATCATTAAACACTATCGAAGCAATGAATATTATTATTATTAGGTATTACAGTTTTACTTATGTCTGTTAAATTGTTATTAAAACTACCTATTGAAGTATTGATTATTCTATACCTACCTCCGTAATAAATATTATAATATGACTATATAATTATTTATGTAACTTTCATATCTACGGACACACTGGCGCCTTACCTCATAACTTTAAAAAGTCCGAAGTGGGTCGATAGGAATATGAGATAAGGGATATAAAATATTAAAATATTGTTTTTTGKATAATGGACATTGTGGTACAAAAATAAACTACTGAAGAACGCCAGAACGTTTAAAATTCTAAGTACGACGCACGTCACCAATGTCGCATGCCTAGTTATTAAGTTTTTGTAGTTGTCGGGCCAACATATATATTTATATAAACAAATAAACAATTAGGGACGCCAAATTAAATAAATTAAATAAATTCATATTTTATTTTATAACTAACAACGTGTAATTACAAACAAACAGTGTAGTATTACATATTATAGCAGGGGTGGGAGATAAAATTTTGAAAATTAGACTGACTACTCTTAAGTAGAAATAATAAAGGAATTGAAATCAGTATTTTTTTTTTTTTTATTATTAATAAAAACAAATATATTAACAATCTGTACTCAATTGTTACAAGAAGTAATTTTTGAATATTATGTACAAGGCATGTACGTGTAATAAAAGGGGGCATCTAGTGACACTGCTTCAATACTAGTTCTTTATTATTAATTAGTTTTTTTTAATTTTTTTTCTGATTATATAAATAAATTACGTGACAAGTTATGTTTTAGGTGGCGACGAGGATTGCGGGGTTGGTAAATTGAGTCCCAAATGACCCTAACTCGGTAAATTGAGTCCCGGGGAAAAATAGGTATTAGGTAAGTTGAGTCCCAGAAAAATAAGGTAGTAGGTAATTTGAGTCCCASGGAAAAACGATTTATATGCATTTAAAATTTAAAAATATGCACTATACAATTTTTATTTGTGATTTGTAGACATTCATTGACTGCRTGTATATGATTTTGAATATAGCAACATGCATTTTAATTGCATTTTTATTAATTATATAATTATTTTTTATGCAATAAAAATGCATGTTGCTGTTTTCAAAATCATTTACATGCAGTCAATGAATGTCTACAAATCACAACTAAAAATTTATAGTGCACATTTTTAAATTTTAAATGCATATAAATCGTTTTTCCCTGGGACTCAAATTACCTACTGCCTTATTTTTTCCGGGACTCAACTTACCTACTACTTATTTTTCTCAGGGACTCAATTTACCGCTTTCAATATGTACCAAACTTATCTCGGACTCAATTTACCTAGCCCCGAGGATTGCTGGGAATGGTGGCTGAGGAATGAGGAAAGATTAGAAATTAGAGGGCAAATTACTTAAAAATATTAAGGGGGCTTAAACATTCCAGAAATTTTAGAGGAAGCAAAGCCGTAACGGGCTTAGTATCCTCCTTAAATACTGATACTTCTCCTTGTATATCAGTTTCATTTGATATATATGTAAATAAAATATATCGAAGATTTAAATTAATATTGTATAGGGTTGTGAATTTGTAGGAAAATCTATTCTTTTTAGATTATTGTAAACATAACTTTTGCTTAACACTGAGCTTAAATGAAGTACAAACAAACATTTGGGCCAATGGCGTGGAAGTTAGAATAATAAATGCATGACGTGAAGCTCTATGATGTGAAGTAGGTACGGTGTAGATGTTAAGGTGGTTATGTAAAGTATGGTTACTGACATACCACGGMGCTTTAGTCATTATTAAATGACTGAAAAGCTTGAAAAATATTGAGGTTGGAGTTTTTGGCTGAGCCTCAAAGTTGAATGCCGTAAGTCATAGCCAGGCGAATTATTTGTTTGTATTATTAGTGATTTGTTGGAGTGTGAGATGTTAAATGTTAGACCTAAGATGTCTAAACTTATGTAGTTATACTAGTTTGAGATTTAAGGATTTACTATTAATTTTTATGTGTGTTGCCTAGGTTAGCATTTTATCGAGGCGAACACCTAAATAGTAAATATTTGACTGAGTTTACCTAATGTATTATTTTTTCGTTAAGGATTACAGGAGGACTGTCGTTAGGATGGAGACTATAAAGGTGATATTGTTTGATTTATTCTAGTTAATCTTTATCCTCCATAATTTGAACTAGTGTTGCAATTTTAGTAAGTGGTTTTGGAGGTTTTACGTACTATGTACCTATATGTCAAGATTTGAAGAAATTACACCAGTATCGTCAGCAAAGGTGGCTAGGGTTCAAATCAGTATAAAAAAGTAGGTACTATCACATAACTTAATCGATCAGTATTATGGAGAAAATAATGGTATGTTTTAGCTAAAATAACTGTCCGCCACCGATCCCATTAATGCAATAAATTATAATAAAACCAAGGGCGCCCATCTGTCAAAACTTAGGGTGGTGAGCGGGAGACTGTCATAAAATAAACAACTAGAAAACTAAGAATCAATCAAATATATTTTATTAAATAATGAAACAAATACACAAATACATGTATTATTATTATGTGTTTTATTGTATTTTAATTTTTAGTATTTGAACAAGCCAAGTCCTTGCAAAAACGTAAGGAAAATTGTAATTGTAGCTCACATTTCATTAGAAGAATAGCCAATAGGTAATTAGGTAATATAAAAATARAGGATCTATTTTTGTACCATCTAGTATTGATAGACAGTCTCAAATAGTCGAATTGTAAACCCGGAAACTCGTTTTTAGTAAAACAATGTTCTTTTGTCGTCTATTTAAATGCTATTGCTAAAATGTGTATTTGATACTTCAGAATCCAAACATATTTTAAGAAGATCGTGTATCTAGTACCTATCTACCTGATAAAGTGGTTATGCATAAATTTTTTTTTTTTTTAGTTTGAAAAATGGGTAAATTTAGAAATAAAACCACTGAAATAATGTATACTTTTGACGTATGTAATGTTTTACTTAATGTAAATTTTCTATTGAAAATTTAAGCAACTCTACAGGACACGCATGAAAACATTTATTCGTAGGTAGTATAAACGGAAACTGTCGGTTCATTGGGAAATAAATTCTATTTCTACAGACAAATTATTGTATTGGACACAATAATAACAAAAGGATGAACAATTATATTTAGATCCACCCCATTCCACCACAAAAAAAATATTGGCTGTACAGCACGTGCTATATTTTATATTAAGTGTTGTAATTTAAATTTAAAATAAATATCTTGCGTTTTGTCGTTACCTATATCTGACGACTGGCATGGCATGGCATGGTACATTTATTTGTTCGTTAATCATTATATCGTGATATCTATTATAATTTATGAGATAAAAAATATTTGAGGCGTGAAGAAGCCAATATCAATAAGTCTATTACATTCTTGGTTTCTTTCTCCTCTTATTATGAATTATGATGCCTTAAAAAATAATTTATTAGACATATAAAGGCCCGTATTACAATAGTTGAACTCCGGTTAAACCATGGAATTCGGCCGGTAAAATCAGTGGTTCAAGCATAACCGATGAGGTCTAACTTTAAACTATGATTGTAAAACGGGTCCTAAGTGAAATAGATAATAAACTAAATACTAATGAATTATTAGTGGCGCAACCAGGATTTTTTTAAGCGGGGRATCCAAAAATGTAGGTAATTGTTTTAAATTAACAAGCAAATTTAATTATTATTTTATTGTTTGTTTAATGTTAATATGGTAATTATAATGTAAAATTAAATGATAGTTAAATATAAAAAAGGTATGCACAATGTTTAGAGTTTATAAAATCAAATCTAAGCGATGTTTTGTATACAGCTTAAATTAATATGTATTATTTCCTCGGGATATCATTAGTAATGATATAAATACAAATTATTTATAATTTTAATGTATGTATATAAATAAAAAACTGTAATTTTTTGTATTTAAAATTTTTAACAACAACGAATTTCTTCACGTAAATAATGACTTAAATGAGTCCATTGCCTGCGAACAATCGGTCCATAGAATTAATTTTGTCAAATTGTATTTTCAAACGCCGTTACTATGATGATTAAGACGATGTCGTAAATCGTAAATAATTGAAAATTCTTTTAAACGTCGAAAATATTGGTAACGACTACAGATTTATTAAAAAATAATATTAATATATTATGTTTGCATTTAAGATTGATCATTTTTATTTTTGTTTATGTATACAAAAATATCAATCTATTTTTACACGAGTATAGTAGACAGAAGCATAATATACGAATATACTCTGTAATTATAGTAGTCATTTGAACTGAGCAATAAATCAAATTTAATTTAATCCTTAAAATAATATAGTTTGACGCAAATTGGTATCGTATATGGTATATAACGTGCCCTTAATTTTCAATACTGATTATAGATTTGTTCGATTTAATAAATTAATGTGAATATACTATAGTGATATTTATATCCCAAGTATTTGTAAATCATGAAGTTTGGTTATTTCATTATTGCATGAATGCTATTAGTAAAAAATCATTTTCATTTTATGTATAAACTATAAACACTATATTATTATAGACACTTAAACTCTTTAATAGTTAACGTAAAAGGTCACGTATGTTTTATTTATTGGTTTTTCGGAATCGTGATAAATGTAGATTAAATTATTATTTATTCGACCATTAATCTTAATATTACTGACCTAAAATTATTGATTTGAGCATTTTTTGGTTTTATTTTTGTTTATAAATCATATAAATTTAAAGTGCAGCAAATTTCCAAAGAGTGAACATTCAGTTGCAGTGATTGTACATGCTACACCAGTACACCATAAACGTTCAATTAGGTATTCCATTTATAATATTATGAGTGATATAGTGGGTGGCTGGAAGAGAGGATACGAAATATATAGTTACACAAAATATAAATAATATTATTTATAATATTTTAATTTATTTTTAATATTATAAATAATATTATTTATATTTTGTATAACTATATATTTCGTATCCTCTCTTCCAGCCACCCTCGATATGTCAAACTCTAAATATCTTTACATTCACACTAATTCATTTGGAGACTATGCAAAAACATCAATTATTTCTGATTTATTTAGAGTGTAGACTGCAGGATCCCAAATTTCAATATTTTCATTAAATAAAATTAAGGAAGCTTATCTGAAAAAAAATAGTAAAAATTTCTATTTTTTTTTGACAATTTTTGACTTAGATTTTATTTACACAAGGTTTCAATGAATGTTTATATATTTTCCACCAGATGTTTGTATTGTTTTGACCGGTGTTAAGCTTAACTGAGWGCAAGCCACTTATATACAATTTTGCACCACATCCATTTACATAAATCACATAATATGAGTCAATATTTGATTTAAACATACTTCTTTAATTCAGCCAATTTCTGAACATAATTAATTATATAGATTAAACTCATAAAATCAATACATAATAGAATATCATTTAACTATTCAATATACATCATGATTTATGACAGTATGATTTTAATGCCATATTGGTTAATCAATTCTTGTATAACTCTTCATTAATTTTCAAATACGTCAGCATCTTTGTATTAGATTAAAGTTCAGTCCTAAAATTGCATTCACAGTATTAGTAATAGAAGTCTAGCTTGGTGTATAATGTGTGTATATCATTGCAATTTACGAGCAGTTTTTGTTCATATATATTATTATGCACCTAATTATAACTACATGACTTATAAATTAAAACTAGATCTGCTGTATTTAAAGTTTTGGATTTTGAGTGTACATTATTATGTTTGTATTTTATTTTTTAACCATAGTAGTAGGTCACTGTGATATATGTGTAAAATTTGAATTGAATTATAAATCAAGAAAAACGATTCTATACATCAGCATCTATTTCTTAGATAATTTTAAAATCTATATAAGTAGAAAATCAATATAGACTATAATATTATAAATTTTTTATTATTCACACCTTAGGACATACATTGACCTAATTTTTGCAAAAAATTGAAAATATCTCATGGCTATGAATAACATAACTTTTAGATWAACTTTTTTTTTGTTCAAGGTAAATCGTGTGAAGAATCTGTAATTAAAATTTTTAGCATTAGTTATGGAAATAAAAACTTTTAAGAATTTCTTACAAAAAATAATTTGAATAAATTTGTTAAAGTTTTAACTTTAAATACATATAAATAAATTGAAGCGATTAATAAATGTCACAGCTTGCCCCTTCTGATTAGTTGGTTGGTCTCTATGTTACTACTTATATTATTACAACAATAGAGTAAAATATACCCGTGGTGGTTATGATTAGTCTAAATCTAAACTGTATCTTAGTTTTATTGTATAACCATTCATCAGGTACCTAACAAAAGCACCAGGCACCATATTTATTAGGCATACATTATGCAGTATTGCAGTATGCACACTGTCAACTTCATATGAACAGTCATGTTTCTATGGTATAGTGTCAGATTGAAGTTTTCATATTTATTTATATTCATAGACAGAGGTTCAATTACAGAGCTTAATATAAAATAGAAAAACAAAGATCAAGTAATTACAAGATCATTGAAAATAATTTGTAATTAAGTGTAAACAATGCATTTGATTTGACATTAAACGAGATGAGCATTTAAGAATTAAATGTTTATCATACTAGAAGAAAAACATTAGCACCATTATCAAAAAGTTTAACAGARGTACATGATAGAACAATAAATTATATTAAATAAATATTATGATGCTAATATTTAGCACTACTGGTATATCGACCGTTAAATGACAGATCATAGTAGATAAATTCACATTAACTGCCTTTCCYATGATTGTACATCCCCAAAATTACTTATGAAAGTAACTTTTGTGTTCTTATCCACTCAACTCTTAATGTTTCTTTTTAAATTGTACTTAACAATTAAATAAACATGTAAATAGTTTTAAAATCTGGCACTAAATTTCTTGAATTTTATTCAATAATTAATAACATACAACCATTTTAGATTAATCATCAAAATTAAACACAATAAAAATATATATTTTAAAGCTCAATAAAGTACTATAACAAATAACTTAACAACATTATCGAATATATATATTATATTAAGTATTGTTACTTGTTGGTGCCAAAATCACCAAATGAAAGATCTATGAGGAATAATAATTTAATTATAAATCAATAATATTCTAAAAAATAATAAAAATAAAAATAAGGAACTATAATATTTTTAAAACACTTAATTGGTATATTGTTTCCTATACTTAAATACTTTAGCATTTGTCAGTTTGCTAAATCACAACATTTAATGATTCAAATCTATATTGGTGTTAACTAAAGCAGTTTTCAATTAAACTACAATTTTTAGTACTAAATTATACAATATTTAGTTTAAAAAAAAACATTGAATATAAAATACACTGACAAATATATATATATATATATCATATTGTATTTTGGTTAAGTAATAATCTATTCAATGTAATGAGTATTGAATGAATAATTAAATTAAATAACTAATATTATATTATTATAATATAAAAACATACTATAAGTGCATTAATATTCAGTTCATCTATTAGCTCCTTATTTTGATATTACTTGAAAGAAGTCATAATTGAACATCCACAGATGTACATATTTTCTTAAGGTTCTCCTCCAATAATAGGTTCGTCTGTAGGATAGTGTACAACAGTTCTCAATCTTCTGGGCACAGCTTTCAATAAGTTATTGTAAATGCACATTCCAATAAGCAACAACAGGAAACCAACAGGCTATAAAGATATAATTTAAAATTTATCTATTTTCATTTAAATTATTTATCAAAGACAAACTTTCACTTAAACATCTTTAATATGATAAAAAAATGGTTAAAATAATAAATAATACCTGAAGTGGATTGAATGTTTGCCAGCCAACTGCTAATGAAAAAGTCCAAATGAAAAATGTTCGAATGGAATCTAATACCATTCTAGTAGTTGCAGATATTTCCTTAGCAACACTTATACCAGAAAAGTTGAAAAAAGCAATGCTGATTATGTTTCCTAGAAGTAAAAACACATTAGAATAATAATACAAGCATCATATGATACTAGTGTATTAAACATTAACATTTACCAATTAATGCAACTAAAATCCATTTGTTGTTCATTATTTGAGTAATGGCCTCTGGAAAATCTTCAATAACTCCGCGAGAGTTATTACCACCAAATGGAGGACTGACATTGATATAATAAAATGGTACTAAAAGTATACTCATCATCAGGAATCCAAATAGACCTTTAAAATAAGTAATATATATATACATATATCAATATATTATACTTGAACCATAATTTATTGTAATTGGCTACACAGAGTGTAGCAGGRGTGAACTAATCCACTATGTGCACTGCCGCATAGGTAAAGTATTGGACAACCGAGTTTTAGGATTTTAATTGGCCTTAAAAATAGTAACGCCCATTTTACAAGACATAATATTATATATAATTATTTAAAGTGTGGAGTATTCAAAAAGTTTTAATCATATATTACTAAACCAGCCCAAATTTTATGCAGCCTACCAAGTTCAACATAGTCAGGTCAGACTATAAGACATATTGGTACGTATAAATGACAAACTTGAAGGAAGGACTTCTCAATGATTTAATAAAATCTGATAAAGCACATTTTTSCTATGTACATAATATGAAAGAAATAGATTAAGATAACTATTTATGTATTAAAATGAGCATCATTCTATTATTAAATGATTATATAATGTTTAATAATACCTTCCCAACCAACAGCTTGTAACGGTGGAATATCATTTGAAACAACATATTTCTCTTCGTATACCATTTGAGCAGCTGTAATAATCTGAGCAAATAAAATCAATGAGTCACCTAAAAATAAACAATAAATATGTACTTTGATATTAACATGTTCTATTTTTCAAACAGCACCAACATAATATTTATTTATTTATTATTATTTGTTACCAAGAATGATTTCATTAGTAGATTTTGAGTTTGGATCAGTTGACAATAAATCTGATATACCAACTGTGGCTAAACCAATAATTATTGTAAATATGCCCAACCAATGGCGAACAGATACTTGTCGATGGACAAACATTTTTGAAAATATAGCAGTAAATATTATTACAGCACCTTAATGCAAAAAGAACAATGTATTAGATAAGTAGAAATCTATTAAGAGGGTGCTACACTTACACGTGTTATCTGTTTTATACTCCATAAAATAACAATCTACATACAGTTTTCTTACTACAGATTATTTAAGGTTAATATAATATATAAGAGAAAATGAATAAACATAATATTGAATTTGTAGAAGAGAGTGCAAACTATTTTAGATTAAGTTTTTTTTATATATATTTATTTAAAATAATTTAGTGAATTTAAAAACTCTTTGTTCATACAATTTATATCATTCTCTACACATTTTATAATCAGTAAATTTGATCTAACATTAACAGTCAGTAGTAAGAATCTGATATTATAAAGATTGYATATGTTTTACAMGTSGAACATAGAGACAACACACACAGATGTAGTGTACATTATCAACAAACTTAATGGTTTAACTAAGCTAAGCTGATTATAATACCTCTTAACATTTGAAAACTAGACGCAAAAGTCATTGTGAGACCAATGTACATCAGGGAGGTAGCAACCAAATCAAACATTGCCGGCACAAAGAACAAAAATGGATTGAATTGTTGGTTGCCTTTAACTATTGCACTATCCTCAATCGGATACTGTAACAAAAATTTACTTCTGGTTATTTAAGATTAGGTAATTTAATGTATGAAAAAACTTACTTGTCTTTTTACGTGGTATCTATAAGCCAATTTAAAGAACAACAAGCACAAAAATTCTCCAAAAAACATGGTTAACGATTGAAAAAATGGATGGTCAAATGTATGCTCTTTTCCATCTGAACCTTTAGCTTGAAGTTTATCAGCCCATCTAAACCAATAATGACATGATATAATAAAATATATTAAAACACAATATATTCAATATTTTATGATGGGCATGTTTGGGAAATGTCCTTATCTGAAACTTCGATAAGTGTGAAATTCAGGTTGAAAATGTACTAAWGCAGTAATATAATATGAAAAATGAAGTCTTTGGAAACATCTTAGAATCACATGTATTGAATAAACTCGCAAATCTAACAATTTTCTAGGTATAGCTTTGTATTTAATACATACATGTTCTAATATTTGTAATTTGTATACAATTCTTAAATTATAGATTGAATTTAATAGTTAATAATACAAATTATAAAATTTTTTAATGAAAGTCTGGAAACAATAAAATACTAAATAAAAGTATAAAAAATTAATTCTTATCAGTGGCGGTCCTACATGGGGGGATGGGTGGATTGCCCCCCCCCCCTTGGTTAAAAAAAAAATATAGAATTATTACATGAAACAAATTTTTTTATAACTTCTATTTTTGAGTACTTATTGCATTTAATGTGAAAAATATTCCACCTACCCCCCGGAATTGGTGAAGGACCGCCACTGATTCTTATACTACACAATTATAATGATCAATGTTTGTAATTTAGTGGGTAAAACACTAATTTGTTGTATTATCACAATAGATTTAAAGTTTTTACATGGCAATTTATTTCACTTTAATAATTTTTATTGAATATTTATCATTAATGAATATAAAAACTCTTATCTTTAATGGTATAAYATCTAAATTTTGGTTTAAATAGTTTATTATTAATTTTTATAAGCACAATGGATAATCTATTGTTTTGTAGTATGTTACATATACTAATTGTACCATCAGCTCAAGGTTAACTAGTAGAATGACATTCATGTATGGTCAGGGGTTAAAAAGTGGGGACGCAGGAGGACTCAGTCCCCTTACCTCTGACGGCGGTTAAAAAGCGTCCCCTTTAACAAATCAGGATTTTATAAATTAGACATTATACMTAAAATTATATATGGAACGCTTAAAACTTTATGGAGACATCAGTCCCCTCTGGAATTTTTCCCCACTTTAACCTCTGTGTATGGTTTATAATAATTAGTTATGTAGGAGTTTACATAAAAATCGAGGGGTGTAAGCACCTTGTGGGTAATCAGTGTACAAGGTGATGGTAATCATGGGTATATTCATGGGTAATCATAGGTATAATCATTGAAATCAGTAATCTGATGTACAAAATTTCTGTCAGGTATTTACCCCTCGATAAAAATAAACTGGATGAGCCAGAAACAGTATGCTACACATAATTCATATTATATTTAAACAATAAACATAGTTGTAGAAAATCAAAAACAATCTTCAAACTTTTATTGTACAGAGTATCATCAATTGATGCTTTATCTATTCATGCTATACAAGGATAAAAAAAAATAAGCAATCAAATGCTTTAAAAAAAATKAAAAACTAAAATTTAGTATTTACAGATTATATTTCATTCAATGAATGAATAAAATACTTTAATTGTAATATTAGTTTGGACCTTGGTCAACACAAGAATAAACATTCATAACAATAATAAAAAAGAAACGAGTGTTTGGTTATTGTTAATTAGAAAATTTTATTTACCTATTATAAAACTAAGAATATAAATAGATTAGTGCTTTGAAATATTACATTTTATGTATACATAGTACATACTTTCTTAAATGGATAAAAATAGATAAGAAAAAAATTAGTATTAAAAACTTTATAATATTATGTACCTAGACGTAGGCCTAAAAATGATGCAGTGTGTTTAGATAAGGAGTGACTAGGCACAACGGAATGGGAGGAAAGATTCAGGATCGATAATATTGGGGGTTGGTAACTGTGGCTAAGACTCTTACAGAGTTGTAGAGATACATAAAAAAGAAAAATGTAATGTCAAAAATATTTAATGATCAAGAAAAAAAAAATTGTTTCGAGAAGTTAAAAAATAAATTGAATAATACTTTGAACTAAACTKTGGAGTAATATTGAGTTGAATTGTAACAATGTCTCATTAATTTGAAAGTTGTAAACCATTAACAATTTACAATATAGTCATTAGATAACGGGTCAAGAGTCAAGTCTAAAAAAATTATCTATCAGCCATTAATAGAGTTGTCAACTTGAGAAAYCAGCATCTTACGGGCTCAATATYAAAATGATTGACTTTTATCTATGCGATGCACTGGCAAGACATATTCTACAAGAATTAAATATGTGTAGGGCTTTTTTTTAAACTATTAGTTTAAGACATTGAACTCACTTGACACTGAGCGTGTTGATGGATCCTGTGATGACCATTCCAATGGCCAACAACAGTTGATACGATGAGTACATGATTGCAGCAGTGAATGTGAATTACACTTGTTAGAACAGTAATCGTACAATAGACGAATTGATTTGAGCTAACCTAAGTCACACAGAGGAAAATTCATAMATGATAAATAAATCAAAACATTCTTTTATCAGTGACGTGCGTCGACATAAAACACTTAAATATCACGTTTTGCGCCACAATTTTTTTTATCTACCAACGAGAAAAACACGTACGAATAAAACAATATATTATCATAATCCTTAAAAATAATTTTCTCGATAAATTCTGGGTACGTACCGCATGTGTATAGAAATCCGCTGGAAAGCTCGTTCGAACCTTATAGGTACTTACTTCCTCGTCAATAGTGGGATGCAACTATACAGTACGGAATGACTTGATTTCAGATCGTAGGGAAAAAACAGTAGCCAGCATAGAATATCTAGAACGGTGCGGGTGAACAACTGTGTATCGTTTATTCGTTTCTATGTTATTATAACTCAATAATTGTATTGTCTACTTGAAACAATTAGCTTTATAAATCGGTCGCCTTTGTCGTCGTAGATAAAGGATCAGAGATAGTGGGTACAAACTACAAAAAATACTAATACACTTTGGTATTTGGTGGGCATTAGCAAATAGCAGCAGCAGCAGCTGCTAAATCACAATCACTGCTCACGGCGCTCACGCAAACCGTAAAACATCGAAAAAAAAAAAAAAATTGTTTAAAAAAATCATAGTACGGTTGCCGACACTGTAATCTTAGCGCGCGCGCGCTACTACTTTATCGCGCTGGTGCTTGGTTGGAGGGGGGTAGTCGAGCGGACTAGCCTACCTGCGGTGAAATTATGTCGAAAACATGTCATCAATGCTCTGCTGTGCCGTGGTAAGTACACCAATTTGTTCTTAATTTTTTTAATTTTCGACCCGGTGTGGGGAATTCGTCAGGGCTCTGCTTCGCGTTATCCCGTGACGGTGGTCGCAGACAGCCGGCTAGCCACGTTCCGTCGTTGAATCGCCGCTAGCCGCCGTCCTCGTGGTTTCGGTTCTCGGGCCCCGTTCCGGGTACCCTTGACCAACGTAGCTGCGGCCATCGTTGTTTCCGGTCCGCGGCTTCCGACGTCGCTCTTCCCCATTCACTGGTTTTCCGGCGTCGCCCCTCAACCCTTCGAAATCTCCRGAAGTCGGGTGTCCCCAAATTTACCTTTTATCCAGGTTTCCGGATAGAATAGGTAGTTTTTTGTATCAATCATTTTCCTTCCGTGGTGGCTGGTGCCTGTCGCTGATAAGAGGGAGATTGTTTTAGTTGTTCTCTCTGGACGTGGTTAATTTGTTATTGTTGCTGTTGTTAATCTTATTGTTACTGTCTTCTTAGTTTTCTACTACCGCGATGACGGCAAAGTAGGCTAGACTTTGGTCGTAGAATTTGAATTTGTCTTCAAGACTTCGGCTCCCCACCTCTCGTCGATAATTATTTTAAAAATTCAATAATTTTCGTTTTTATCTGAAGGATTCATTTATTTTGATTTATGCGTTTGGCGTACTATTTTTGAGTATTTTTGATTAAGTTTTCCAATTTTGTAGCTGGTTGTTGTACCTAATTTTTCTGATATATTTTTTTTTTTTTTTGTAATCAATTTGTTTGAGTGGTCCAATATATATTTATTTTACTAAAATCAATGAAAATAATTAAGTTGAATTTTTTAAGACTTTATATTAAATTGAAAGTGTTGATTTCCACTATATTTATCTATGTTTTGGTTTATAAAAGAAAAATCTTTAGTTCATAGTTTCTATGGTATTTYTCAATAACAGTATTGTAATTATTATCAATTAATATTCGTTTTGTTTTTCTTTGCTTTTCTGTTATTAAGTGAACCATATCCTGGTAATTATATAGTATTATTCCTTTGTTGAGAACCGTTTGGAATACTTGAATTATTATGAAAGTAAGATGACCTATTTCTGAATTAATAACATATTAGAGTTTATTAATCTCTTTAAACAGTTGCTACAAAAGTAACCTAAATTCTAAATTTTATTTAATTATTTCTTTCCTTATTTAAGTTATTTGCTGATTAACCTAAGTATTTACCTAAAGTATTTGGAATAAAAGATGAAAAATAATTATTTGTATGTATTAGTTATTTATTTTAACAAGAAATGTATWAAAAAAAGGCCTTGTTTAAATTAAATTACTTAATAGTAATATATTTGTGTTTGTATTGATTTTTAAAATATCATGTAAAATATTATAAGCTTAGCCGCTTAGGTTCTTAAAAGTTCACTAATTAGATATTAAAATCTTACTTGCAACTAACATTCATTGTTTGTTTAAATTAAGTTTATTTAAGCATTGTGTCTCTAATGTATTATTATATTGTACCTAATCGGTAAATTCTATAGTTAAGTGTAATTGCATTGAAACAATTTTATGGGTTTTTTTTCCGTTAAAAAATTTAATACTTGGAAACCTGAGATTTATTTTCCATTACTAAGTATATCCCTGATATGCATTATGACCCATATTAGTGTTGTGAAGATTATCAGATTGGCACCATAAAAATATGCCTTAGATGTAAAAAATTGTTATAGAAAATTAAAGTTATACCAGTGAACTAATCAGTGTTTGTGGGATATTTCTTTTTTGGAATTATAAATTATCCCTGGGATAAATAGAAAACATAGGTCCCAATAAATATTTTTACGTGTATTTCAGTTAACTTGATGTTATTTAACAATTTAGTTTTCATCTTATTTCGTGATTGTAATTTTATTCTTTCTTTTTTTTTTCAGCTTTCAAAACTAGGCTAAATTAGTTTTAGTCTTAATCACAATTAATAAATTAAAAATTAGAAAAAAAAAGTGATACCTAACTATTAAAAACAAAATTCTTACATCAACTTTATTCTCTTCTTCGCTGTACGTTCCTTCAACTGTTAGTCATCTGAGAAAACAACATACTGCAACATTACCAGCAAGCATTGTGACAACTATCAACTGAGAAATCTTCTTTTATTGTTTAAATAATATTTAATTGAAACGTGTGCTGTGTATTGTAATGAACCAACCGAATACTTTAGAACTGTCTATTTTATAACAATTATTATTAGATTTTTAAAGTAGGTTAGATGTCTTTTTATTTTTTATTAAGTTTTTTTTTGTCTTAAATTAAGAAGAAAGAGTTTTATGTAACAACCATAATTATTTGTGTTCAAACGTAAAACATATAGAAAAGTCGCTTGACTTAGTCGAGTGCCTTTTTAGATTTTAAAAAATATTACTGTGATATTGATTTTAATGGTAATAATGTATTATAATATATAATTTAACATTAGGATAAAACATTAGATTATAACATATATATATATTTAAAAACAAATAAACCAACCCATTCCCCCACTCCCTATTAAACAATTTTATATAAATTAAATATTTTATGGTCATAATAGTAAAGTCTATAAACAAAAAATAACTCAAGAATTTAAAACTAGTATGTCTAACAACTCCCAGTGGAATCTGTTTCAATCAAATATGCTGAACGGTAGTGATTCTTCTATGATAAACTTTAAAACCCTCTCAGCATTAACAAATCTAAACAATTACCCATCATCGAGATCTTCAAATCATTCACCGCCAAACTATAATTCACAGTCAAGTCAAAATTTCCCCATGCCATCTCAATATCAGTCGTCTCAATTTCATCAAAAGGAGTCTTCAATGAATAATATGTTTAACAATGGACTACAGTCTTCAAACTTTGATGTATTCTCTTCTGATAATACTGCACCTGTGAGTCGTTATCCTCCAGCTGGCAATGACATTTTTGGTGGACATGACACGGCTACTGCAAGCAGTTCGAACAATTCAAATTTTTCAAATGAATCGTTTGGTAACAATCAAGGAGTTAGAGAAACCGGAATCATAGAGAAACTTTTGGTTTGTACAGTTACTATTGTTAACTAGTGTTTCTATATTAAACAATTTTCATCATTTTCAGCATTCTTATGGCTTTATTCAGTGTTGTGAGCGCCAGGCAAGATTATTTTTTCATTTCAGCCAATTTAGTGGCAACATCGAGCATCTTAAAATTGGTGATCCCGTAGAATTTGAAATGACTTATGATAGAAGAACTGGTAAACCCATYGCTAGCACTGTTACAAAAATTGCTCCTGAAGTGGTAAGTGTTAAGTACTAATATCTATAACATTTAAAATTAATTAGGTAAATATTATTTATTAGGTATTAAGTGAAGAAAGAGTAACTGGTGTAGTAACAACAGAATTGAGAACTGAAGGCTCGGGCGGTGATACACAAGGTCGAATTAGTTATGAAAATCGAGGAGAGTGTTTCTTTCTCCCTTACAATAAAGATGATGTTGAAGGTAATGTCACTCTTAGAACTGGTGATCAAGTAAGCTTCCAAATAGCAACAAATCAGAGAGGTAATTTGGGAGCTACACATGTCCGCTTAGAAAATCCAGTACATCCTGTTAAATATCAGGGAGTTGTGTGTTCTATGAAAGATGTTTTTGGTTACATCGAACGAGCTGATATTGTAAAAGAAATTTCATTTCCATTTACTGAATTTAAAGATTCCTCCAAACCTTTACAATTGGGTGATGATGTAGAATTCATAATACAAACACGTAGTGTAAGTAAATTGAATGTTTTATTTATTTATTTAATTTATTTGAATATAAGTATAATTTGTGTGAGTTAAACAAAAATTGCAAAACTAAAATCTATAGTTAAAACTCGGTGTGTAAATATTAAAAATTGTTACTTCTTTTAGAAATAAACCATTCATTCCTCTAAATTAACATATTTGATTTTTATGTGTTATTTCATTGATACAGATGAAAATATATAGTCGTATCWAATTATAGGTACTATGATATTATTCTATAGTTGCTCAAACTTTTCATTGTAAGTAATCTATTCAGCTAGAGAATGCCGTGATCCTGAGCATTTTCCCTCGTGCCCTCGTTCACCCTATTATTGAAAACAGTTCATCACGTGAAGTTTCTCAAATTAACCATTTTTGTTCTGCATTATTTCACTGAACAGAGTATAATAATTTTTCAATGGATTTTATAGTTCTTCAGATTATTTTGTTTTGAAATCAAATTCTATGTATTATTTTTACTCTGTTATGTTAAATATTTTCTCTTTTAATATTGAGAAATGATTGGTCGAAAATAACTTGTTTTATTATAGTATTATTTAACAGAAATATTTTTTATTTTATTAAGTTCTAAATTGATTTATAATTTAGTTATATTTTTTTTATTCATTAGGGAAAAGAAGTTGCATGTAATATTGAGCGTTTACCTCCTGGTTCAGTAATTTTTGAAGATATCGAGGATACTGTTATGAAAGGCCAAGTTTTAAAACCTTTAGACAAAACTCCTCAAAATCATTTACCATCTGAACCACTACCTGGACGTATACGTTATAGAGCACCAGATTATTCTGAAGTTGAAGTTTCATTTGGTGAAAAAGATCAGCAGGGTGATTTTACGTTGAGGTTATTATGATTAATTTATTTAACTTTTGCATACTTGTTCTGTCAACCGTGATAATATGAGTGAGAAGCCAAAACKATTTGTTTTGTTCACAATGACTTCCTATAGTAGTTATACCAT